AGGTAATTCTGCCAGTCAACCCAGGCAAATTTTTTTTCCATTGTGAAGTAGAAACTGTGTTCTGAAAGAAAGTTTCCTGATTTTTTCTGTCCTGTGTACTGTGGCCTAAGATTGAATGGCAGCCTTGACCACAGATTTCTGTTTTGAACAAAACTGTGTTGATTTCAGAGCTGCTGTTCAGCTGAATGAAATCTTGAAGTCAGGCTCTAACACATCATGGACAAAAGGTTTGCTTTTTGTAAAATGACATGGCACATTAGGATCACTGCAATGAAGGCGTAGGCAATAAGGGATTACTGGTCTTATTAATAAAGGATGATGGAAGAATTTTACATGGCAGAGGGAGGAATTATTTACATGGTTGTTTTTTTCTGTGTCAACAGTTTTTTGCCCTTTTTCACACACATTCATTCTAGATCTAATAAGTGACCCAGGTACTGCTTAGAATTATTGAATGTTTCTCTGGGGAAGATTAGATATGTAATTATGTCAGCTTAGCCTGCTGAAAGTAGCTTTTGAAGAAAGATTTTGTAATAGCTTTTGAAGAAGATTGATTCAATGTTACTACATTCAAAGCGGTAATGGTCTTTCTGGTTTGTTTTTTTTTTTTACATGTTTCTGTTGAGATGAGTTCAGGAAGGGTATAAAACATTCTTATGTTTATATCACGCATACTGTTACTATTTTTTAGAACTAACAAGGATTATAGATTTAATTTTTTTAAAAATGCAGATATCCCACTTTTAAGACACTGAGCATATTTATATATCCATCTCTGCACAAGTGATCACATCTAGTGTTAGATTATTGCAGTGACATCTAAGCATTTGTACTACAGGGAAGAAGAATTTGCAAAGGAAGGGATTTATGCTTGGATTACTTCACATTTTACAGCTACTGGAGTGTCTTTTTTCAATAGATTCATTCAGTTTCCACATCTAGTCAATGAACCATAACATATACAAAAGTAATTAGGTTATTAAACTTTTAAAAATTTGAAATACAGAGGTTATATTGTAAAAAATAGTATTTGTTTTCTTACAGTGGTGAACAGTGATTGATCAATGTTAACTTTAATGGTTTTGCATCAGCAGTGATGCAAGTTGCTGTATTTCTCCAAACAATAGCTAAAATCTGTAAAATTTAGAAAACATAGTTGTGCATCTGTATAGAGGGACCAGTTGTATTGGGTTGGCCAAAAAGTAATTGTATTTCTTTTTTATAGAGGGACATACATGGAATGTAATTAAGTTAATTTTAAACTGCAATTTCATTATGCAGTATGACAGCTGACAGTTCAGGCTTGTTTTAGAAAAAGGAAGTGCATGCTTTTGTTAAGATTTATTTGGCATTGATTTAAAACTGGAATATCAAAAGGAACATTTTCATCATATTTTGCTGTATAACTTCATAAAAGGAAAAAACGCTGTGCAAGCTCATAAAAAGTTACGTGATGTGTATGGTGAAGATGCCTTAAAGCTGCCGCAGTATCAGAATTGATTTGCTCAGTTTCAGCCCGGAGACCCTGCTCAGGAAGGCCAATTGAAGTTGATAATGACAAAATAAAGGCATTTATCGAATCCAGTTGGCGTTTGAGGACATGAGAGATTGCTCATAATCTTAACATACTGAAATCAAGCATTGAAAACCATTTAAAACAACTTTGATATATTAGGAAGCTCGATATTTGGGTACCACATGAGCTCAAAGAAATTCATCTCACTGAGTGTACATTGACATCTGCGATTCTCTCCTGAAATGTGAAAGAAACACATTTTTCATTTTTGCAATGCATGATAACTGGCAATGACAAATGGATTGTCTACAACATCGACAAATGAAAAAGATAGTGGAGCAAGCGTGATGAACCAGCTCAAAGATCTTCACCAAAGGAAGGTGATGCTGTCAGTCTGGTGGGATTTCAAGGCATTGTGTATTTTGCATTGCTTCCAGGGAACCAAATGGTTAATTCAGATGTGTACTCTTGTCAACTGGATGAATTGAATGGTACCATCAAACAGAAGCATCCAGAATTCACAAAGATGTTGTGTTTCTCCACGATAACACTAGACCACATACAAGTTTGGTCACTCATTGCAGCTTGGATGAGATGTGTTACCCCATCCACTATATTTGCCAGCCCTGGCACCATCAGACTGCCATTTGTTTAGTTCTTTATGAAACTCCTTGAATGGTTAAACCTTCACTGCTGGTGAGGATATCAAAATTACTCTTGGAGCTGTTTTTTGCCAAAAACCAGAACTTGTTTGAGCACAAAGTCATGAAGTTGCCTGAAAGATGGCAAAAGGTAAATGAACAAAATTGTTCAAAAATTTTCACTATATTGTTTAATAGTTTTTGTTTCCCATGAACAGTTTGACTTTCATTTACCCAGAAGAAAATGCAGTTACTTTTTTGCCAACCCATATATCCTTTTATATTTGAGTTGCTTAAGCCACTTTGGCAGCAGAGTGCAGTAGTGATGTTGCTACAAGAATTATCAGCGGTAAATTGGTGTATCCCTCTATGAGGCATTTCTTAATGAATGGGTGCAAATCTAATGCTAAAAGGAATAAGGATTGTGAGGGCTAGAAAAATATAAAGGCAGAAAATTTAGGAGCATTTACTGCTCTGCATTGGCATAGATACAGATATTACCTTTGCAAATGGACTGTACAGCATTTTCCTGTATGTTATTTCCCAATCAATGTCTGTTGTCTACAAAACTATAGAATGCAGATAACGTGAGTTTATGATCTTTGACTCATGCTTTGACTTAACTAATAATGAGGAGTAGTTGGCTCAGCACTTCCCACATGCTAACAATATTTTTATGCTGAACAAGTCATTTACTTGTGAATCTGAGTAGAATGAAATACTTTGTGGAACTTTGTGGACATTTAAATAGGTTTTATTTAGGATTGCAACCTGTGTGGTAGTTAAGTATATACTTCCATAATTATTACAATAATTCTAAATTCAGTATCATTAAGCTGAGTAGGTTACAGTGGGGTGAAATGACATGTTGAAAATTAACTAGCAAGCTCATGAAAAGACAGAAAGAGGTAACCCTGCTCTTTTAAGTCCCACTGTAGCCTTACCTCAGTGCTATGCAAAGCATAAGAAAGTTACCTTCTTTCATGCAGTAAAAAGCCTATAGATCCTCTTCATCCTAATAAGGCTAAATTGCTAAATGCTTCTTCCCCGTAATTGCATCTAATAGAAGAGAGATACTGCTCATACTTTGCAATATTTATAATGTCTTTTGTCAGTAAGAGAAATTGCTGGCATTGTCACAGAGTTTTGCAGATTAAATGCAAGGATGTGTATTTGTTATCTATTGAACCACCTCTTCCCGCACACATTATTTCTGTATGTTCCTGTCAGCCTTCTCCTCCCTCTTCCTGTCTTTCATGCTAGGTCACTAACACTGAAAATCCATCAGAACATAGAACTAACCAGTAGCCTGGTATCTGTGTCAGGTGTCCTGTCCGTGCTGTCTGCCCATACAGCCTCATTTGTCATCTAACCGTCTGTGTTGTGTGCCAGAATGTTAGAGAGGCTGCCTTGGTTGTTTGGTTATTTACGTCCAAGCTCCTATTTCATAAGAGAGGCAGGGAGAGACTCAAACCGGAGGCATGGCAACCCCTAGACAAAGCTTGAATAAGTAGTTTCCAAAAATAATAATAGTTTAAAAATCTGCTTTGTGGGGTCTTAACTCCTCATTTCTTATGCCATTCTTTTTGCTGTATTCATTCTGCTCCTGACACTAGCTCTTGCATAAATAAATCTAAGCAGTGACTTATGTAGTGACTTATGTAGGTTGACACATGATCAGTAGCTTTGATTTTGTAGTCCAGCAAAGCTGGGGAGAGAGAAACAATCTGAACTTCCTGAGAACTTTCTGGAAAGCCCTCTTGGGAACCTGTTACTCAAATGTTCTTGCATTTCAGTCACTGAAGAATCAGTATCTTTGAAGAAAGGCATCATTTAAAAAAATCTTTGGGCAAGTGGAGTTATCCATGAAGCCAAATTTGAAGTTGTAGTGTATGCCTAATTAAATGTCTATCATTTTATAGTGGTGATGGATACATATTAAATGGTTTTGGTATTTTAACTGTATTGAGAACTATGCAGTATATCTGAATAATATGTTTGTAGTTAAGGGTTTATTGAATCATACTGGTTTATAGTACTCTATTTTTGCTTCCATTTAGTAGCAGGTGGGAAGTGTGCAAGCAGTCATGTTGCTATTCCTAACTAAGATACAGCAATCTTAATTAAACCACTAATTTAATCACTCATTGCTCATTGCTTGGTTGCCAAGTCATGTTAAAGTTACAGAGCCTCTGTTTCTTAAAAATTATTCATCAGCTGTCATTAATATTTTAAATTTATGGCCCAGTAAAGGATATTCTGCTACAATATTGACAGCAATTGTAGCAAATATTAAGTAAGTTCAGGGTAAAATGAAAGAATATGGAGAAATGCTAAGCATCACTTCAAGTGCATTATTAAGTCCCACTGTCTACAAGGTAGCAGGTTCTTGTATGAATTTAAGTATAGATTTATCTCCAGCGTTAATTACTCCAATGTTTTGGAGGTGACGTAACTTGAATTAGGAAATTAATCCTTTTTTCTATTGTTCTCTCAGAATTGTATTAGTCAGCAGAAGTTTGACGTGTACTAAAAATATGTAGAAAACTGAGTCTTGAAATGTTTTGAGAAATTACATTGTTCCTTGCCATTTTTTGTTAGGATTGACTTTTATTTGCAGTCTCATTTACAACAACCAAACAATTTTACGTAATTATGAACATTAGCTGTCACAGATCTTTTAGTCGTATTCTGACTATATGAAAGTAGCCTTTTATTTAAAAGTATGTGCTGTGTGCTTTGTTATAATTTATACTTTTGGGGATAAATACATTTTAAGCACAAAATAAGTACACTAATTTGTCCTAGCATATTCAAAGCTATAAAACTTTTATCTCTTTTAGAAAATTGAAAATGGAAGATTTGCAAAACTCAGATATATTGCACATGCTATGGTCAACAGTACGGATCTGTTAATGGTAACAAAAAGGTCAGCAGTTATGATTCTGAATTACTAAGTACTTAAAATTACAATAAAAATGAGCATGCCTTGATAATTGTTGATCAGTAACTGCTTTGACACATCTGTCATTATGTATGTATATAAAATAACGGGGAAGGCATGCTTAGTATTCTGTTAATAATCTTGTTCAACTGGCATTGTTCAGCACAGAAATACTTTCTTTTGAGTGCCATAGCAATTTCTCTATTTAAGGAGAGAAAAGAAATGCTGAGTTTATTATTTCTTTACCTGCGAAAGATTTGTACTAAGTCCAGTCAGGTTGAAGTCAATGGAACTGTGGGATTCACTTACAAATTAGCATAATGAAGGACAAAAGGATAATACAGGAACAGAGTCAGTAATGTCTAACAGTGGCGTATCAGGTGTCCTTCTCGAAAAGTCTGTACATTTTGTAGAAATACAGCTAGAAGTAGTGTTATCGTTTCAGTGTTCAGGTGTTGTGTCCAGTTCTGGGCCCCTCAGTTCAAGAAGGACAGGGAATTGTTTGAAAGAGTCCAGAGCAGAGCCACAAAGATGACTGAGGGAGTGGAGCATCTCCCTTACGAGGAGCGGCTGAGGGAGCTGGGTCTCTTTACCTTGGAGAAGAGGAGACTGAGGGGTGACCTCATTCATGTTTATAAATTTGTAAAGGGCGAGTGTCAGGAGGAAGGAGCCAGGCTCTTCTCTCTGATGTCCAATGACAGGAGAAGGGGCAATGGGTGCAAGCTGGAGCATAGGAGGTTCAATCTGAATATGAGGAAAAGCTTTTTTACTGTGAGGGTGACAGAGCACTGGCACAGGCTGCCCAGAGAGGTTGTGGAGTCTCCTTCTCTGGAGACATTCAAAACCCGCCTGGATGAGTTCCTGTGTGACTTGGTCTAGGTGATCCTGCTCTGGCAGGGAGATTGGACTGGATGATCTTTCAAGGTCCCTTCCAACTCCTAATATTCTGTGATTCTGTGGTTTTGCTGTGAAACACAGTATTTTAAATGAGTTAGAGGAAGGTTCAAAATTCACTCTTTTGGAAAGTATGCTCTATGGTTGTTAGTTATCATTAAATGAGAACTATTCTGGAACAATGACTTCACTAGAGCTAGGGTAACTCAACTTTGAAGTATTTCAACATTAATTTTTAAATTATTAATTTTATTTTCTGGTGTCTAGTGGTGTGTTATTTGTGACAAAAGGGACATTTGGACAGCTGACATGTGAATGGCAATACACGTACGATGAATTTACCAAAGAACCATTCATTGTTGATGGCAGACGATTACGCATTGAAGCGAAGGTATGTTAACCTCATCGTGTTTTGTTTTCTTATTGTGTTATTGTTTATAAAATTGAACTTTGAATTCCTGATCTCCCTCCTTTGAATTTGTGAACTCTCTTCTAGTTGTGATGCATTCAGAGAAGGGAGTTGAAATTTGTCATGGGCAAACTCCTCAGATAACTAGCTTCTGACTGCTCTAAGCTGAATGGTGACTTGGGGTTTGTATATTAAATCATTCCTTGTGCCCTGGGAATTTTTTATTAGCATGCATCAGTTTGTGCTGTATTCATAGTTTGGAAAATGGTGATACAACAAAACTCTCTCAGAAAGTTGCAGAATATTTTTATTAGCATTCTGGCGCTGTGGAAATATGTGGAAATCTACGTAATTGTGATCCTAAAGATTCATCTATATCAGACCAATATATTTGCATGTGCTGTGCCTCAAGGATTGTTTTTCCATTTGCTAGTAACCAAATTCTTCAAAAGTATAATAAGGTATAAATATCTTAATGAAAACTGTAATAACATATGCTTATCCCTGTCAATGCAAGTTGAAGAATGTTGCTCTCAGTAGCAATTACTCCTTTTAAAAACCCCAAAACTTTATTTCCCTGTTAAATTGGCAAAGGACGTAAGAAGAAAGATGACCACTGATGACTGAGTATATTTAAAGAGGAAAAGTTCCTTGAAAATTTATTTTTAAAATTCTTGTTGAGATGGTAACTGAATTTAACTTGACTCAATAGATATACCTGCTAGTGTTTTGTTTCGTTTCTGTTTTTAATAAGCTTAATGTGTGTAGTTACACATCTTGGATCTCAGGACAGTCTTGACAGTGTATGAAGTCAATCAGTTTTTCCCTCAGATTATTTGTTCCTATTGCAAAAAAGTATGAAAGGCAGAGCCATATTGCTGACTGGATTTCTGACTGCAAGTGAACTATTTACAGGATTAAATAATTCTTAGAGTTTCTGCCATTGAATAGCATATCTATCTTTACCCCCATACAACAGTCATTTCAGAGTCCATTCACATGTCTACAGTATGCTCTCTATTGAAATCTATGGTTGAAAACTGTAGTTTGCAAAGCACTGCTTATGTTTATTTCTGAAGCCTAAGTTGCTATTTTCACTACTGAAAATCACTTCTTACAGGTCAGTATTGGTGGAATGTCCACCTAAGCAATAATTTGAAGGAGAATGAAAAATTACAGCCTTTGGGAGTACTGGATTTTGTTACCTCCCACACTCCATTATCTGCCTTCCATTCTTACACACTTTTATAGTCCAGCCCGCAGGGACTTTATGGTAAAAAGGAAAATCTGTGATTGCTCTAGTGTTCCACTCCACTGTGCTTTCATGAAGAAAATGAAGTTTCTCAGGGTATGTGCATGTGATGTGAACATACTCAGATTAGTGTAATGGGTACAGGTTGCTGTCTGAACAATATAGCTGCCTTAATGGTAAATAAGTTCTTAGTTGTAAAGTTTGAAGAAACTAACTTGAATTTTTAATTACTTCATTTTTTGGTTTTTTTGTAGGAACGAGTTAAGTCTGTGTTCCATGCCAAAGAATTTGGTAAAATTATTAATTTTAAAAGTCCAGAGGATGCTAAGGTAAAGTCAAAATACTATTACAATTATACTGTTCTAAATTTGGCTTAAAAAGAAATTTTCGTAAACTGAAACTACTATGTATTATTTAAAATTCAGTATTTCCACACAGCCGTTACACAGATGGAAATGGCAATCATCTATTCAGCACTGAATTTCAAAAATACTCAATTCTAGCACCAGACTTTTCCTTACCTAAATCTTTGGAATTATAACTGTCTGTCAAATAGCTGATTTAACAGCACCGCTAACAAAAATGAAACAAGAATGAATTAAAATAATACGTTTTGGTAGAACAAACAATATTTGTAAATTACTCCTAGTTTTATTCAGGGGGACAGAGGAGTGTCATTCTTCCATCAAATACAGTTTGGGTTGAAAAATGAAGAAAAATCCATAATAGAAACAGTTTTATTTGATACATAATATGGCTGCTATTATTATATTCTATGCGATCTCTTCATTTTGACATCACTAGTTTTCACTACAACAGCAAGGAGTGGTTCAGGTCTGCTACCAGAATTATCAGGTAGCCAGGTTGCAAAAGTTCTGCCTTGTTTTTATTAGTGTAGCTCAATATTTTCAGAAACAATGAATTAACCTTGTATATTTGTACATCAGTGAAATATAAGTACCCTAAGGTTACTCCTTGAAATGGTCTGCAAAAGTTGCATCCTCTTCTCAGTTTAAGTTCCTTATGTCTTCACGAGGGTAGTTTCTAACCACAGGCGAGTGATGTGTTTTGACTCTTACCTCAAAAAGCATTACAAATAATGTCAAGGTATTTGAGGGCACCTCAAATACTTTTTGTTGTGTGTTCTGTTTTGGCTGTGGTAGAGCAGGGGCAGCATAAAGGTCCAGTAGTCTGTGTGGAAAGGGAATCTCATCTATGCCCCAGCTAATTCAGGAACAATACCAAAAATCAAAGTAGTGCATCATATTATGTATGCTATAAGTCTTAAGCAAGGAAAAGAAGGCTGAAAAAGTTGTATGCGCTTTTCACAGAAATGTTAGTTTACATATATTCCTAGAAAGGCCCATGAACCTCATAAAGCCAACAGGAATGTTAATATGAGGGGGAAAGTCGCACAACACTAAGACAACACTAAGAGAACTGTTCGAGGAACAGTGAAAATGAAACTTGCACCCTTCAGAGTAAAAAGGTATGAGGTTATTTCAGTGACACTGCTTTTGAACAGTTTTCCCCCTTGTTAGTCTAAGGGACACTACAAGGTTGTTTCATCTGTGAGAAGTGCCATATTCTGATATGAACAGTAATTTCCTGAACAGCCAATTATTTTTTCAAACCTTCAGCATTGTGCTAAACAGCAGCTCTGGTCTCCCTGGAGGGTGCATTTGTGATGGAGAGGAGGGGATCCTAAAGATCTGTGCCATAAGACCTGATCCAGTAACAGAATCTGATTTGCTATAATCTACTTATCTTCCTTGAAAACATTATGCAGCTTTATTATGGAAATCCCTTTGTAAAATTTCATCTCCTGCCTTAGATTTCCATGTTACTGCCCTTTTGGTTTGTTTGTTGTTTTTTTTTTTAACCCTTCCATGTTTAGAAAACATGAAAAGTTTCATGTGGAATTTTTACAGAAATTCCTGAAAAGGAGCAAAATATAGTTAAAGAAAGCTTCTTTCTCAGTAATCTCACATTGCTGCAACCTATTCTTGTCCTCAGTCTTTTGTTATCCTTACTTCTTTATTGCTATTTGTGATTTGTCTGGAGTTGTAAACTAATGCAGAGCATTAACAATGGTGTGGGTGAAATTATGGTGTCATTTATGTTTTTAAATAAAATTCATTGAAATACAGACCAGGAAATCGAAGTATCAACCTAGGCAGTTTAACTAGCTGTGGTATTCGATGTCAGATATTTGGTACTTAAATGCCTCGATTTTTATGTGAGAAAATGAGGGATTTATAATCTACAGTAGAGTTTTAAGCGCTGCGTTAAAACTCAGTTAAGAAGAGAGCAGACAGTGAAGTGTCTGGTCAATCCAGTCTGATTTCATCTGCTTTATATGGATTTTACCAAGGAAATATTTTTTTTCCTTCCTTCACACAGTGGATCCTTTCTAAACTGGAAGAAGTAAGAGAGAACCAGCCAAAATTGTAATGAATGGAAAAGCACCAACATCTGAAGAACACTGAACAGCTACTGTTTAATTCCTTTGTAACAAGCAGAACTATTTGAAAATCAGCAACAAAAGCAAAACATGAGGGAAATAATATTTATTACATTGTTTATTATGGTCACAGTGTCTATGGCTATATCACAAAAATAGATGACGTTAAGTTAAAAAAAATCTAGTGATGAAAAAGTTCTGCCAAGTTTTGGCTTGCTTTGTTTGTTTCTTTTCAATGTAGGAATTCCAGGTTTCTTTTTTTATAAATACAGTGTAAAAAGAATTTGGTTTACCATTACATTTGATACTGAAATAGAACTCTGGAATAATTCTTAGGATAATCTTCAGAGCAAATCTTTCAGTTTTTATTTGATTCTGAAAATCAGAGCTTAGTTTCTGTCTTAAGTTTCATATGACTTGAGGCGGTGCTGAATTTCAGGTTTCTTTATCAAAGGAAATGTTAACTTAATGATCACAAGTCTTACAACTCAAGTTCTTAGAAGGGTACCGACTAGGGAAGTCTATTTTAGATGATCAGAGGTCTGGCTGCTTAGTTAACAATATTACTACTTTTCTGTAAATGAATGGACCAGGTCATAATGAATTTACATTACAGTATCACTTTCAGTGTAAAATTTTTTAATATTCTCTCAAGGAGATGTTGCAGCACCTCTATGGATCTTCACAGAAAATGTAACAGTTTACAAAAATGTATAATGGGGAGAATTAATATATCTCTGCACTAAAAATATTAAAGCCTATTATTTTAATTAAGTTATTACCAGTCTTGCAACTTAAGGAGTTTATGGGGTTATAAGTGCACTGTTGCCTACCAAAAATAAATGCCTTGGATTACACAGTATTGTGTGCTAAGCAAGTGACTAATAAAGTCAAATTTATATTAAATAATAAATATATTTCACAGTTGCTTTTATCAACTTTTCTTACCCAATGAAACTTTTTTGTTTCCTATCCAGACAGCAGAACTTTAATAAGGAGAGCTTGAATGTGTGTAATTCTGTTTATTTATTCGATGCATTAGTCATAGTATTGTTGAATGGCTGTTTACTGCCGTTGGTATACAAAGTACAGGAAACAGTACAGTGTTACATGAAGGTTTCCATAAATTCCCATATTGAAGTCTTCAGAATACCTGGTACATAGAGTAAGTACCTACTGCCAGATATTATTTCCAAACAATTGCTTGGAACAGATACAGTAATAGGATTTAGTTCTGACATTGCTGGTGGTGCTTGAGATACCCAAATTGTTGCATCATCAAATCTAAAATTACTAGCATGCTAACCTACAATTGCAGTTCTTTCATTTACTATAAGTTTTGTCTTTGGTGTTAAGTAACCATTAAGTGGGTTGCAAAATACATGTAATATTGAAAATTTTCCCATAAACTGTAAATTGAATCAAAAGATTATAAGAGAATTCCAAGCCATGACAATGACTGTGTTACTCCACTTGTTTGTACACTAAGCATGTGCCAAGAGTATTAGCTCAGGTTATAACCATGCCAAACTAATATGATACTTTGCCTTAGATAAGTAGTGTTTTTAGGTGCACTAAGTACCATTCCGAATCTGGAATTTGTTTTTCAGCTATAACTTTTCATGTAAGGCATAACAGTTCAATTAATGACCTTGATTCTTGATTACTGTATTTGTTATTTGTCGTCTCCTTTCTCCTTCTATCCCCAGTATTTACTGAGTATCTGCTGCAACTTTGACTTCTAGTACCTCTTGCATGTATTTTGTACATTCCCCTTTGTGTAGGTATTCTAAATATTTTCTTTTCACAGAGACTCTTTTTCAATACATACTATCTCCAGTTCTTAACTTTCTTACATTTATTTTGCCAGCAATCTCTTGATTCTCAAATCTCAGTTGGCTCTTCAGTAATATTTGAGCAATTTAAGCATTAATGTTGAAGGTTTTCTCTTAAATATGTATGTCTGTGGTTAAGCTCATGTTTTGGAAAACAGCAATTCCCCCAAAATTGCATTATTCCTATAAAGTATAAAATTATTTGATATTCTGTTCTAACTAAAAGCCTTAACACAAGAACTAAAACACTGAAAGTGTTCAAAGGTAGGACCTCTCCTCCACCTCCCTCCTTGTTCTCCACTTGTAATGACAACATTATTTTCTGTAGTTGCCTTTTTCTAGTCAGTAAATTGTACCTTTTACATTTGTGTTTTCCTTACACTTTCTCCATACACAGTCATGAATTTATTTGCCATTTCTTGGCAGACATCAGTTCTGTTTTAACTGTACATCACCTTGGGGTGAGGAGAAAGGTATTCAGTCTTATCCCACGGTGTAGCTTTTTGGGTTACTTCAAGTTGTTCGCTGTGCCTCATTCTTTATTGCAGTATATGTATTTTTTTAACAGAAAGGCAGACTAGATATATTAATTTTTATTAAAAATGTATATGCTATTAGATATGGGGATCTCAATAAAAATTAAAATGTAGGCATTTAGGTCTGGTCACTGTGGTGTTCCAAAGTATACTATGGCCTTCACAAAGTAAGTATTGGAGCAAAGTTTCTCTTCTAGATGACAGTTATCTAATAGTAGTACCTTTGAGAAATGTAATTTGGGTTGCCAGTAGTAGTTTAAGTGTTATAAATTACCTCTGAGAAATCACTGATGAACCAGACATAGAATCAAACATGCCAGACACATTGCCGAAATATTTATAACTGTTTGCACCTCTTTTTGTTCAGCTGCATGGTTTTGCATGGCATGGCTCTTCTGGTTTCCACACTCTTCCCCTCCCTCCCCACCCCAGCCTCTTCACCTTCAATAAAGTGAAAATTAATTTTATTTGACTGGAATGTGATTATTATTTGCTTTCTTTATATGCTGCTTTAGTTAACAGGCAATACCATTACTCAGAATTTTGAAGGTTGAAATTGACAGACTCAGTCAAATCCTGTCTCTGAGAACACAAGGTGAAGCAGCCATTGCAGTGAAAGCCTTTACCTTTGGTTTATTAGAAGGACAAGCTTAAATTACTGGATTTACATGTGTGTAATTTCCGTTTAAAGTTTTTTTTTTCTGTTGCTGCATTTAAAAAACATAGATGATGTTGCCAGATAACCAGATACTTATGAAATACTTTTTTTCCCCCAAAAAAAATTCTGTATGTATACAATTAGCTATTTATTATCTTTAGCACTTCACAAAATACACTCACATACCAAACATACCACTGAGGTCTTTTGTTCTTTCTGAGTTATTTTTAGCCACCTATCTGCAAATAAAAAATACCATACACTAGTCAATAAAAGATTAATATTACTATGTAATGGTGGTTGAAATTTAATACAGGATATTCTTGAATTTGAACTGCAGACCCTTAGTTTCCTGATTATTCTGCTGATGTAAAATGGCTTCAATAAATACATCACATACCTTAATAGGATTTCTAAGTCTTGTTTTTAAATATGTACATATCCATATGACATTCAGATACATTTGTATATTTTTAATTTATATAGATATATGTAGATAGATAGATATATCTATCTCCTGATACTGTATTAGCTTCAAGAATGAAAATATTCCACAGAACTATTCAGAAGACTTTTTTTTCCCTTCACATTTGAACTTCAGAAAAGAACTGCCTGAAGTTGATTGATTTACAAAGTAAAGTATTGAGTACACAGTGTTTCTTCATACAATTCCACAGTACCTTTTTCCAGCATTAAACTCTCTCATTTGTTCCCTCTCTATATGTAGTGACTGATCTTTACTGAAGATGCAGCAAAAACTAAAGAACCAACCAATAACAATGAAACATTTACCTCCCAGGAACTAAGGAGATAGGTGGCTAGAGTTCCTAAAAGTTAATTACTGAGGTGCTGAGGTTTTTTTTTTCCCTATGTTGATCAATTTATCTGTAACCTGCCAAGGACAGGTCTCAGGTTCTGTATAAATGTGTTACTAAAACCAGATGGGGTGAAGGAGCTGTCTGTCCTTACTATTGTGTGCAGAGTGTTAGGGAAATTAATTCAATACTGTGGACGGTTTGGAGTTCTTTTTTTCCAATTTTTTAATAACGGAATTAAGTCCATGTATTTCAAAAGAACAGGGTTATTAAATGTGGAAACTGTTCATGAAAAATACTGCTAATATACATTGTATATTTGTAATTGTCTCAGATATGGTGCAAAGTGTTTCTGAGAGATTTGGTTTTCCTGTGTATCACAATACTTTCTTCACTATGCAGATCAAAATTTTACAAAACATTTCACATTTTCATACAAATTGTTTTAGTTTCATTATTCAGTTCTTGAGTGCTTTATGTTTTTCTATCTAAAACTGAACAAATCAGCTGCCATCTTTTTTTTCTTGCCTATAACTGTATTACTCAGTCAAGATTTGCCTGTTGTTATTCTTACCGGTGGAATAATTTTCTGGCCAGTATATGCAGGTACATAGAAGCATCACCTAGAAGCCTGAGCTTTGTTATTTGACCTAAGAAGCAGCCATGATCTTGGTCACAATTTTTGCTTTTTTTGCCTGCAAGTGGTATCTGAGGATCTAAAATTCCACTCGGAGAGGACACAGGATTTTTACAAAGAGGTTTTGAAAAAATAAACTGTCTTCTTGATGGATGTCTCCCCATTTTCTCCTTTCTGTGGGCTTTCATTCCCTGTTGCATCAAGCAGATTGAGAACTATGTGCAGAAGTTTTTCTTGGTAACAGCCCTGGTGAATGTGTTTAAATGTTGGTTGTGAAGTGAGAAAGAAAAGCATTTCTTGTACTGATGGGTCCCGTAAAACAGTGACTGCCTCATAATCTGCAAAACTTGTACTGCAGCAAAGCCAGGCTCCCAAATAATTGGTGCCAATGTGCTCTTCACATAAACAGCAAATCTTGACTCAAGATATGGAACTGCTAAGAGTTTAAACAGATGTTTGTCCAAAAGTTCCCAGGGGACTCAAAACTGAAAGTTTCCTCTATCAAATCTGCTGCCCTAGCAAAAGTACTTTTGTTGTCATGTGTCTGGAAGTTCTTAAGTTAATGGAAAACTTCAATATCTGCAGATTTTACGACAAAAAATGCCTTTGAATTATTTTCTGAGCAGTAGTGGTTAGTTTAGGACAGCGAGTCCAAGGACTTGTCAATGATGCCAGTTCCTCTGAGGGAGGGTAGAGATGACACGGTCGGCAAATGCATAGACGTGCTGTTTTATTCCATGCTTTCATCATTC